TCACCTCAGCCTCCCAAAGGCTCAGGATTACAGGCTGAGCCACCGAGCCCGGCTTCCTGATATTTCTAATAAAGGACTAACATCCAGACTATACAAAGACCTTAGAACTCAACAATAAAAGATTAAAATTTTAAAATGGGCAAGAGCCGGGTATGGTGGCTCACATCCGTAATCCCAGCATTTTGAGAGGCAGCAGCAAAAGGATTGCCTGAGCCTACGGGTTTGAGACCAGCCCAGGCAACTTGGCAAGACCTTGTCTCTACAACAAATCAAAAAATTAACTGGGTGTGGTGGCATGCGCCTGTGGTTCCAGCTACTTGGAAGGCTGAGGCAGAAGGATCACCTGAGCCCAGCAGGTCGAGGCTGCAGTGACCATGAGCGTGCCACTGCCCTCCAGCTTGGATGGCAGAGTGAGACTCCAACAAAAAATAAAAATAAAAAAAATGAACAAGAGATTTGAATAGACATTTCACCAGAGATAGACAAATAGCTAATAAGCACATGAAATGATACTCATCGTTAGTCATTAAGGAAATACAATTCAAAACCACAGTGTGATATGGTTCACATCCACTAGAATGGCTAAGATTTCCAATGATAGCCAATAACAAGTGCTGGTGAGGTTCTGACGAATTTAAAACTCTCATAATTGCTAATGGGCTTGTAAAAGGGTGCAGTCACAGTTTGACAGTTCCTCACAATGTTAAACATAGAATTACCATATGACCTGGCAGTTTTACTCCTAGGAATATATTCAAGAGAAATGAAGACATATATCCACACAAAAACATATACACTAATGTTCATAGCAGCATTATTCATGATAGTCAATAGGTAGAAACAACCCAAATACCCATCACTCAATTGAGGTGTGAATGAACACAATATAGTATATCCACACAGTGAAAATATTATTCAACTATAAAAAGGAATGAAGTACTGATATGTATTACAACATGGATGAACTTTGAAAACATTATAGGGCAACCCCCTCCTGTTGTAGGAGCTTTTCTGTTTTCTCAATAAATCCTAATTTCTTTTTTTTTTTTTTTTGAGTTGGAGTCTCACTCAGTCGCCCAGACTGGAGTGCAGTGGCCGCTCCCGGCCACCGCAGCCTCGACCTGCTGGGCTCCGGTGATCCTTCCACCTCAGCCTTCCAAGTAGCCGAATTACAGACATGCGCTACCACGCCCGGCTGATTTTTTGATTTATTGTAGAGATGAGGTCTCGCTGCCCAGGCGGGTCTCGAACCCGCGGGCTCAGGCAATCCACTCACCTCAGCCTTCCAAAGGCGCGGGATTACAGGCTGAGCCACTGAGCCCGGCTAAATCCTAATTTCTAGAAAAGAAAAAGAAAACATTATGTGATAGAAGCCAATCACAAAAGACCACATATTGTATGATGCCATTTATATGACATGTCCAGAGCAGGCAAATCCACAGAGGCAGAAAACAGAATATTGGTTGCTTGTAACTAGGGAGGAGTGGAGAGTGAGAAATGACTGCTAAGGGGTAGGAGGTTTCTTTTGGGGAGATGAAAATATCCTGAAATTAGGTAGTGGTGACAGTTTTACAACATAATGAATAAACTGGAAACTACTGAGTTGTATATTTCAAAAATGTAAACTATACTGTGTGCCAATTATATCTCAATAAAACTTTTATAAAAAATAATGCATTAAACAGTAATATGATTAAAGTATGATTGCTATTTAATTAAAGTGATACATATGGTTAATTACTGTTTGCTGCTGTGTTGCTACCTCTTTACACTAAACATTTTTCTCTTGCTCAGGCTATAACTACTCCTGCCATGGCGGTCAGTCATATCATGTTGGAATCATATAAAAAGTATATTTTAGTGTCTTTGATATTACTTGGCAAAGTACAACAGCTACCAAAATATACATCTCAGATTGTGGGTAGATTCATAAAGGTAAGTGTTTAAAATGCAACTGATCTATATATGAGCTTATTCATCACATAAATTGTATGTGATATAGTGCTAAGAAATTGTAGTGATATAGTGCTATAGTTTTACTTAGTGGTGATTTAACTTTCCTAACACCTTCAGATTAGCAGTTCAGTAACAGTTGCTTAACTCCATTCCAGTCCATTCACATTCTGGTCACTGATTGGGATGTAATATTTCTCAGGAACTGTTTTTCAAACTTCTGTTCTGAGTACTTACAGCATAGATACCTAAAGCAGCTTGGGGGTCTTAAGAGACCCTCAGCTACTTCTAGTTATTTTGTTTTTGTCTTCCTGCTAGCAGAAGTAGTGGATTGTACCATTGCATCTGGTGAGAGATGTATGTGTGTGAAATAGGGAGAGTTGGGAATGGTAGATATTTTCCTTTTTTCTTCCCGGTATAATATATGAGTAGAGAAACATAGAACCACTGATAGAGAAAGTCATGTGAACCTTCACTAAACTCAGTTAGCTTTTACCTGCTGTGCCATTATTTGCTTTGCACTAAAAAATTTCATTGACAATAAGTTACTCCATAGTGAATTTCTATCCTTGGTCTTAAAAACTAGGTATTTGCTTTGGGTAAATTATAATGTGTTAGGTAACAATAAACTGTTGCCTGACAATTATATGGAATGTATTTGCTTAAAATATAGTACATAAATTTTTTTTCTTTCTATGCAAATTTGAGGTTTCTGAAGTTTTACTCTAACTTGTTTCCCTCCTTCAAACCTTTAGCCTCTTAGCAATGCATACCATGAGTTAGCACAAGTGTATTCAACCAATAACCCCTCAGAACTCCGAAACCTGGTGAACAAGCACAGTGAAACGTTCACTCGTGATAACAACATGGGCCTGGTGAAGCAATGCTTGTCATCTCTTTATAAGAAGAATATTCAGAGGTTAACAAAGGTGAGGAAAGCACTGTTCTCAGCATCTCCTGGCTACCATGGGGCCTTGTTTCTCTTCTCTACTCGTTTTCAGTGCTGAGGAAGCAGGTATAGGGATAAAGTATGGCAGGATTTCTGTATTAAGAGAGAACTCTCCTGCAGTTGGTTTCTAGAAGGAGTTTGAGTTATACCTTTTGGTCTTTTCAGGGCTAGAACAGGGTATTTGAGAAGAGGAGCGGGTGAAGAAGAAGAAAGGTAGGAGACAAGACTACAGTGGGGGACAGAGAAAGGCAGCATTAGAGACCAGCTCCAAAATGGGTAGATGGGGGATACTAGCAATGCAGACTTTAGTCCATCCTGATTAGCCTTGGAACCCCCCTGGCTGTACTGACCTCTGTTTCAGCATCTTATTTGAACATAGTACTACTCTGACATTACCATTTAGGCCAGGGTTGTACAAGCCTGTGTAGTTAAATTCTAGGATGTGAGCAAATTATATAATTTTTTTTTTTTTTTTTTTTTTTGAGTTAGAGTCTCACTCTGTCACCCAGACTGGAGTGCAGTGGTTGCTGCCGGCCACCGCAGCCTCAACCTGCTGGGCTCCGGCGATCCTTCTGCCTCAGCTTTCCAAGTAGCTGGAATTACAGGAGCACGCTACCACACCCGGCTAATTTTTGATTTATTGTAGAGATGAGGTCTCGCCAAGTTGCCCAGGCAGATCTCGAACCTGCGGGCTCAGGCAATCCACTCACCTCAGCCTCCCAAAGGCGTGGGATTACAGGCTGAGCCACTGAGCCCGGCTTATAATTTTTATTTTCAAGATCAAAATGGCCTGCTGATTTTTGATATAGAAAATATGCTTCAAGCGATACCAAAAAGCATAAAAAGAAAAATGAAATCCTGTATGTATGTTAGAAAAGCATATGCTGCAAGTAATAGCAATCCTACTAAAAATAGCTTAAACAATTAGACAATTGATTTTTTCTCTTGGACAGTCTGGTCAGAGATCCAGCAGTTCGCAGCTGGTGAGAACATGGTGAATATATTTTTGTGCATGTCCTCTATGCTATGTCAGCAGTGGTGATGGTAGAAGAGGCCAAGGGACCAGAATAGGGGCTATTGGCGGCTAGGCTACCCAGTAGTGGAAAACAATGATGAATTTGGTGATGTGAGGTCCTGGGGAAAGTGACTTTTCCAATTTCCCTGTGGAAGCTAGGGAGGGGTGCTGAGATGAGTTAGTTGTGGAGGTAGACAGGCCATACCAAGTATAAATGCTCCTAAGAAAAGGAAGGAAGTTGAGGAGAGGATCACTGAACAAGAGAAAGAGCTTCTTCCAAATATTCTACAGAAAATAACTGTAGCTTCCTAACTTGCATAAGGAAATGAACAGTGAATTTGTGGAAAGTTAATTTGTAAGAGGAAAATGAAGAATGCCAGAGAAAATATCTCAGGAAAGATAAAAAACAAGTGTAACCTAGCCAGGTACAGTGGTGAGTGCCTGCAATCCCAGCTACTTGAGAGACTTAGGTGGGAGGATCACTTGAGCCCAAGAGTTTGAGTTCATCCTAGGCAATGTGGTGAGACCTTCATCTCAGAAAAAAAGTGTAACTTGTCAGCCAGAAAAAAACCCATAGGTTAAAAAGACTAGGATCTAAAAGACTCAAGGTAACAAGCAGGCTAATTCTTCCCACAAAATTTTATTTTTGAGCCAGGTGCCAACAGAGACATTCTAAATAAATTTCTATCTCTCATCATCAAGAAATAACAATTAAAAAATACCTGCACTCTGTGCTCAGGTTTGTGTGTAGAGAGTGGGACCCTGTTTCCCCCTCTGCATGCTGTTGCAGGTGCACCTGTTGCTGCTATCACCAGAGGCTGAGGTAGATGAACCAGAGGGCTGCCTGTCTGGGCTATAAGTGGTAACTACCTATGCACTCAGGATTGTACATGTAGGGTAGGGTCCCTAACCCTCTCTGCATGACACTGCTACCACCAAGAGTAGGCAAACCTGAGAGATGCCTGTCTGATGTTGTGGGCAATAAACCCGCATTGCAGCCACCACCATCTCCAGTGTGCACTGCTTAGGACTCATAGGGTTATCTTGCCACTGCCACTGCTACTGCCATTGCCCACTCCATGCCAGCTTCCGAGGGTCTCAAAGACCTGTTCACTCATTGGGCCCACTGCATCCCCTGCCAGCATCCAAGCAAGTCACCTGGAGGCCCAAGAATTGGCTCACCTAGTCCTGCTAACATATGCCAGCATATGCTGCCCTGGAGCCCAAGAACAGGAATGCTCTGCCTACCACTACCACCATTGAGAGCTGAAGATTGGCCTACCTGGCATCCCTGTTCCCTGAAAGGCTTCACCATAACCTCCACTAAAAACCAAATCCTAAACCACTGAGAAAATCACAGATATCATTGACATGGTTTACAGCCAAAGAAATAATATAGAGACTGCATTCACCCAGAATCAAAGCCAAAGTCTCTACTCAATCAATAAGATTGATATATCTCCAGGAAAAAGTCCTCCCCTATAGAAGGAAATTCCAAAAATTGGAAGATACTATTTTACATCAGATATGCAGATGTCAATGCAAGGACACTTGAGACATGAAAAAGCAAGAAAATTAGTACCTTCACAGTAATTCCCCAGCAATAGATCCCAATCACAATGAAATTCATGAAATCCCAGAATAAGAATAACAAATTATGATACTAAAGAAACTCAATGAAATATAAGAATACAATACAAAGAAATTAAAAACAAAAAATTCAGGATGTGAATGAGAAGCTTACCAAAGAGATATATAACATAAAGAAGACACAAACATGACTGGGCTTGGTGGCTCAGCCTGTCATCCCAGCATTTTGGGAGGCTGAGGCAAGTGGATTGCCTGTGCCCGCAGGTTCAAGACCAGCCCAGGCAACTTGGCGAGACCTAATCTCTATAATAAATTAAAAAAAAAAAAAAAAAAGCCAGGCGTGGTAGCATGTGCCTGTAGTTCCAGCTACTTGGAAGGCTGAGGCAGAAGGATTGCTGGAGCCCAGCAGGTTGACGCTGGGTGGCCATGAGTGTGCCATTGCCCTCCAGCCTGGGTGACAGAGTGAGACTCCAACTCAAAAAACAACGGCAACAACAACAGCAACAAAAAAGCATTAGATCATTTAGGTGAAAATTCAACAAAGAAGCATTGGATTATAGTTGGTCTTTAGAATAACTGAATCTGGCCGGACTAGGTGGCTCAGCCTGTAATCCCGTGCTTTGGGAGGCCAAGGTGAGTGAATTGCCTGAGCCCGCAGGTTCGAGACCTGCCTGGGCAACTTGGCGAGACCTCATCTCTACAGTAAATCAGAAAAACTAGCCAGGCGTGATAGTGCGTGCCTGTAGTTCTGGTTACTTGGAAGGCTGAGGCGGAAGGATAGCTGGAGCCCAGCAGGTCGAGGCTACGGTGGTCAGGAATGTGCCACTGCACTCCAGTCTGGGCGACAGAGTGAGACTCAAAAAAAAAAAAATGACTGAATCTAGCAGACATTTATAAAACATTCTGTCCAACTGCAGCACACACATTCTTACAGAACTATTCTCCAGGATTGACTTTGTTAGGACACAAAACAAGTCTCAACAATTTTTTAAAAATTGAAGTCACACTGGGGTGGTTGTGAGTGTGCCACTGCGCTTAAGCCTGGGTGATGGAGTGAGACTCCGGCTCAAAGAAATAAAACTAAAGTTGAAGTTACTGGGTGCAGTGGCTCACGCCTATAATCCTGGTGCTTTGGAAGGCAGAGGCAAGAGAATTGCCTGAGCCCAAGGGCTTGAGACCAGCTTGGGCAACATAGTGAGACCTCGTCTCTATAATATATAAAAAAATTAGTTGGGCATGGTGTTATGTACCTGTAGTTCCAGCTACTAGGAAGGCTGAGGCAGAAGGATCACCTGAGCCCAGCAGGTCGAGGCTGCGGTGGCTGTGATCATGCCACTGCACTCCAGCTTGGATGACAGAGTGAAACTCTATATCTAGAAAAAACAAACAAAAATCTCTTTTAGGCTAAAAGGAAACGTATCCCATGCACAGGGGGGACAAAAAGAACTATAAATGGTGAACATGTGGTTAAGTATAAAAAAGTAAACATGGCTCAAGCCTGTAATCCCAGCACTTTGGGAGGCCGAGGTGAGGGTATGGCCTGAACCCATGGGTTCAAGACCAGTCCGGGCAATGTCACAAGACTTCATCTCTACAATAAATCAAAAAATAAATTAGCCAGGCGTGATAGCAGATGCCTGTAGTTCTGGGTAGTTGGAAGGCTAAGGTAGAAGGGTTGCCTGAGCCTAGCAGGTCAGGGCTGCAGTGGCCAGGAGTGTGCCACTGCACTCTAGCCTGGGCAACCCAAAAAAAAAAATGAAGTTATATTAAGTATCTTCTTAGACCAAATGGAATAAAAAAGAAGAGCTTGGAAACTACACAAATGCATGGTAATTAAGCAGCATGCTCCTGAATGGTCATTATGCCAAGGAGGAAATTAAGATGAAAATTTTAAAAATGTCTTGAAACAAATGAAAATGGAAACAACATACCAAAACCTATGGGTCACAACAAGAATAGTACTAAGAGGGAATTTTATAGCAATAAATGCAATGTTTTTGTTTTGTTTTGATTTGTTTTTTTGAGTTGGAGTCTCACTCTGTCACTCAGACTGGAGTGCAGTGGCCGCTCCTGGCCACCGCAGCCTCGACCTGCTGGGCTCCAACAATCCTTCCGCCTCAGCCTTCCAGGTAGCTGGAACTACAGGCGCGTGCTACCACGCCCAGCTAATTTTTTGTTTATTGTAGAGATGAGGTCTTGCCAAGTTGCCCAGGTGGGTCTTGAACCCGCAGGCTCAGGCAATCCACTCACCTCGGCTCCCAAAATGCTGGGATTACAGGCTGAGCCACCGAGCCTGGCCAATAAATGCTATGTTTAAAAAAATCAGAAATCTAATGATGCACCTCAAGAAACTAGAGGCTCAGCATTTTGAGAGG